TCTATTTCTGATTTCTTCTTCTCAAGTCCTTTCTCCAGAGAAATTTTCTTGTGATCTTCATGATCCAATATTGCGCAGTCACGGCAAATGCAAGTTTTACATTGCTCGCAGAAAAACCTGAGTTCATCTTTGTGTTGCTTACAGGCGTTGGCTTTCCGAGCATAATCTTGCGCATCGCTTGATTCGAAGTTGCCAATTTCTTTGACGCGATGGTCGCTAAGAACTTTCCACTTTTTATGGCCGCCAGCGCAATCTTCACACAAGAAGTGATTGCAATCGGCACAATAGAACTTCAACATCTTTCTTTTGTCGCAGTTTCCACAGTGTGGTGAATCTTCTTGTCCTTGTCCGCTGTAAGCCTCCACAATGTCCACCATCTGTCTGTAAAACAGGTTGGATGGAAGGCTGCCGACGTTGTTGTCCGGGCATTCGGTGATTTGACGGCATTTCGGGCAACTCAATGCTCCTCCACCTTGCTGTCGCAACCAACCTTCCAAACATGATTTACAAAACGTATGAAAGCACTTTAATATTTTCGGCTCTTTGATTCCACTAAACTGCTCCTGGCACACTGGGCATTCTATTTCCTTCTTTACATCATCAAAAAAGCTTTTACTTTGAGCCATAGCTCTCGGCAAAAGTAGTAAATCTGATCAAGATAAATTGCGTGATGATAATTCTCGGAAAAGCGGAAGTTTTGACTGGACCCTAGCCTTGGCACGAGGCGAATGTGGACTCAACAAAGGCCTGGGGTCGAGAATGTCACGGTCCCATCGATATTATTGTTGCGAAGGGATTTAACACTAATTTTAACCTGACAGAAGATTTATTACGATGTTATTTAATAAGAAAGAAAGAACCCGTCGTAAAGGTCGTTCAGTTATACCGTGGTCACTTTCAGGATCACCGCTGAAACATCAAGCGCCCACGTATAGCAGGTTATGTGGGAAAACACTCCTATTCTTCGACAACTTTAATTTCAATAGGAATTAAAGGTACACTGTGGTAACAAACGTAATAAAACAACGTAAGTCATAAAACTATGACTTTGAAACGTCAAGTTTATAAAATGACAGTTTTTACGAAATGCATTGTCTTTCGTGTTTGTCACCGCAGTCTGCCTTCTATTCCTACCGAGACTCATCCCATTCAATCATTGAAACTCTGCTATTGCATTGCGATTAACGGCAAGAGTTCAGTGAGCTTCTCGATTTGTTGCTAGTGTAATGTTTGCTCCAAATCTCTGGTCTTCTCTGTTGTCCAGTCCACGTCAACTTTATTTACTTTCAAGGTTTCGTAGCCCGAAGCCAGTATTACGTGAAATTCGACGAAGTACTGGAAAGAGAGAGGAAAAAGGGAGGAGGTGAAGGGGCTTCTCGAATTTTTTAAGATGGCTCTAGTCAAAAAGTACTGCTCTCTTTACTGAATCCCAGTCACTTGCTCTTCAAAACCACCATGTCGGTGTTGCCTACCGGAAAGATATTCCATGGGAAAGGCTGGAAGGCTTCGAGGTGTAGCATTTTAGCCGTGAAGGGCTAGCTCAGGGGTGAAGAAGAAATCAAAAGCGTCGTCATACTGCGTTGGTGGTCCAGACCGCTCAGGCATGAAATTGTTTTTGCAATTATCTTTCAGAGGTAAATAAAACTTTCAAGCAAAAGGAGGCATCCCAGATCATTTCACTTGGGCGTTTCCCGGGAGCGAGGGGGTTCTGGCAACTGTATTGTATTTTACCTTCCGTACTGAGTTCTCGCCATTTCGTAAGCTGGACAAGACCATGGCGCTTTGAAAAAGAACAATTTGCTCTGTGATGATTCAGATAGATTCCGAACTAACTTTAACTTCAATTTAGTCACAAGTCTTTTTAAGTATTTTTAATTAACAAGAAAAGATGAATCAGCCGGGTATACTCAGCTAGACTACCATATCTACAAATATGCTTTGTTGCCTTTACATGTTAAACTAATCCAAGATGACATAAAACTACACACAGCAACATCGCCAAGCTAGGTAGAATTCAGTAGACTATTCAGGGACATACGATATCACATTGATACGTTATCCCCATATCTTGAACGCTGACATGATAAATTCATTAGTTACATCAATCAGTAAAACTATCGACAAACGACTTTCACCAGTATTCCGGTAAAATTCACCACAAATCCAGCAAGGTCTGCAAAACACTAATCTTGTCTCATTATGTGCTTTAAATGCAACTGTTTGAAACTGTAAAGAGCTAACGTGAAACCTATTAACTCACTTTTTATGAAACGTCATCCACTAAAGACTGCTTTTTTCACTATTTTGCGCAACACACGTATATTGCATTCAAACTTAAACGAAATGCCTTAATTTGGTTCGTAGCTTGTTCTGGCTTTAAACAAGGCCAGCAGATTTAAATTTTAACCAGAAAAAGGTTTTACTCAAGCATGCAAATGAATATTATTACTAGACGCGCCAACTGTGTTCTTCCTTCACGAGAAACAGTCTTAGTTTTGACCCGAACTGTTCTATTATGACCACGAAGCCCATGACGCCAACGATTAGCAGTTGGGTTTCACCTTTGGTGCGACAACATTAACCAAACTAGGTCCAGTCTCGCACGTCTCTCGAGAAGGAAAGAAAATTGAGCCCGCGAAGACGAGGGTAACTGTTTACTTAGCAGAATCCTATCAACCCGATTCGAGGTGGTAAGCCTGTGATTTAAATTAAGTTGCTTTTTGCCTAATCTTTCAATACTACTGTAAAGAGATACAATAACTCCGACGTAGGATTGCTTTCAATCAGAGGATTCCTTTAGCAGCCAGGTCTTCTTTGACCCTCCTCAGATAGTCAGGATCTGGATATCCACATCTGTATAAATTTTACTCAAAATCAGTTACATTTCATCTTAAAGCCACGTGAAAGCAGGTTACGTTTAATGATGTATCAGTTGTTAGCATGAAAAATTTTCTAATTAACAGGACGCTGAAGAGAACATGACTCTCTCACAAAATGTACAATAAATAAATTCCCATACTGAAGGAAAGTCAACGACAGGGTCTCTATTGTCTGAAACAGCTAACAATAGCTTGCAGTAAAATATCCACGTCAAATACCTACCCCTGAGGACCTCCATGCACGCTAGTCTTGTGGTGGATATCATTCCACGTGATCTGGTTTTGTAGTCCAGTTGTTACTGAGGTTCCAACAGTAAAAACCAATCGAGCATCAAAAGCTCTTTTCAAAAGCTGCAGGACCTCATTTCCTTCTCGGTTATCAGGAAGATAAGCAGTTCGTTGGGTGCCATCATACCTTCGGCCAGGGCTAGGATGTTCCCTGCCTTGTGTTCCCGGTGGAAAATAGTAGTCGATAATGATTGTACCACAATCTGCAGATCAATGACGCACAGAATTGAAAACAAAATAGGTTGTTGCTTGTGTTACTATATTCTTGCTGTTGTTACGGTAAGACAGGAAAGTGTTATATACAGAAAAGGGATGTAACCCGATGCTGCTCGTGCTGTGACGTACAATCCAGCGAAAGTTGTCCAAAAGACCTCTCACAATTTTGAAGACATACGTACAGAACTGTTTAAGCCGGGGGGGGGGGTAATATATGTTCAGCGGCTTGTTTATATGTCAGTCGAATACTTTTAACCAACATGAAGCTGTTTGTCCACAGGTCGATGGTAGCAGTAGCACGCTCTGCAGTATACTTCATCTCACACTGACTCATTACCCAGCAGTTGTAGACCCACCGGCAGGGTGCTTAATTATATTCAGACACTTTTATTGGAATTGAAGAAAATATGGAAGAATATTTCAAAAGAAATATAAACGCTTGTACATGACGTTTTAGCGTCGCCATTAGGGAGCTTAAGCAACGACGACGACGACGACGGCGAGGACGCACGACGCCTAGTAAAAAAATGAAGTCATATTTTACAAACGAAATTCTCGATTGTCCAGATCTGTTCGGTACGCCAATGGCTGTAAAAACGTGCTTAAGCTAAATATGCAACGACGGCGTTCCATTTCAAATGGAAATACAAAAAATCAGCCGTCGTCGTCCACGTTCCGTAGACGACGCAAAACCTGGTCATTTCAAGTTGTTGTTTCGCAGAAACAACATCTTTTTGCAAAGATTTATATAACGCACGTGCACAGCTATTGTTTTGCTCATTAAACATTTTCTTTGGTGATCTTCTCGTTGCCGTCGTCTTTGTGGTTTGCTTAAGCTCCCTAATATTATTAACAAGTGCAGAACCGCACAATTTAAAACATCCACAAGATAGCGCCGAAACTTCATGTACTAGGGGCGTTTATATAGAGGATAATACATGCCCGCGAGTGGATACGAATTTTATCTTCGTGTGTTCAACTCGATATCTCACGAGTGAGCGCAGCGAACAAACGAGCGCAGCGAACAAACGAATGAATAAGATGTCGAGTTGTATTGGCTGTGCGTTTATATGCATGGTAAAGATCTTCATAAATACATGATTGTTCGTTAAATCTTTATTTTTATAATTAAAATTTTTAATGTAATGTTACCATTATAGCCGGGAAGGCGTTGAAGTCCTCTGTGAAACTGCATTTGTCCTGCAGGCTGATTTCCTCTCATAACGCCCTGCACCTCTTTACAGACGGGGCATCTGTTGTCGTGCTTTAGCGCAGTCTCCACGCAGTCTTTACAGAAGACGTGTTTACACTTCAAAGTCCGTGCATTTGTCACGGTATCGAGGCAGATGGGGCATTCAGCTTCTGAGCCTGCTCCGCCAAAAGCAGAATCTGTTAAAGAAATTAAAACTTGAAATAGTGTAGTCTGTCGGTTATCAATGAAAGGGACGCCAATTATAGCCAATACAAACCGCCGCGCCCACAAATCTGGCTCCCGCTAAAATGTCTTTCAGGGCTTCTTACCAACCAGTCCTAGCTTAACCGGCACTGCCATAAATTATACGGTACCTCTTTCACTACAAGTAATTTCCCAAAACGTTTTGCATTATCTTTTCCCCTATGCCTACGTAACGCTACGATTTCCCCCTCTGGTAATTGCCCATATGTCGAAGATGATATTCAAGTTGAACGTTTCACCGCACCTATACCTTAAGGACTCTGATGATATCTGCGCAGTTAAAATCAAATCAAGCTCACAAGTATACCAGTAGCTGGTAAAGCCCTGGGGCAATTTATTACTTGGACAAATGTTGTTATGCATTTGGGCAGTATTTTTTTTTGGGNGCAGTATCCCTAGGAAGTATCCCTAGGAAGTCGGGGTGATGACGCCTAAGGTATTTCCAAGGCATTTGAAAACCAGGCTTAACTCTCAGCTTACCTTGTAAGTGGTGACTCACTATTTCGACTGATGATATGATTACGCTCACTGCATTTCACCAAGACATCAGGATGTAATGTTCGCTTTTGATTACAAAGATTATGATAACCTGGATGTTAAAAGATCCTCTATGTTTCGCACGGAATTACACGAGATTGTAGTATTACTATTATAACATCCAGTCCATCAGGTTTCTGGTTCTGAATGTGAAATTGCTTGTTCAGTACCCTTGTCTTTGTTTGTCAGATCAACACAGACAAGGTATAATTTATTGAAGGCTTCAGTTTATGGAGAGGAATAAAAAAATACAAGTTGACATTCTGCCCCTGAGGTTAGAAGCCTAATGAGTCTAATGACTTAATCAGGGTGCAGGCGAGTTGTGATGTCTCTTTTCCTGATTCTTTCTGGTTTAAACATGCCTGTTTCTTTGTCAATTTGTTACTTATCTTGCTACGCTGTCTATTGTTAAAAATAAACGCGGGCTTGTGCACAAAGAACAGCACTTTGTGCGTCATGAACAGTTTTTATTTTAGAGAGGAAAACTGCAGCCTAAAACACAGAAAATAATCGCCCTTCATTGAAATAAGGGTTACATGTTTGGTTTATTTGGTATTGCCATACCTTCATCTTTCCGGTCCGTCGTGGCCAAATTGGGGGGATGATATCCCTTCTTCCCTGCACCTCCATGCTCCTGAGCTGTGGGCGATCTTGTTTCAGTACCTCCTCCCGTATTGCTCTTCACTGCACCACTGTAAGATTTGTTTGAATGCGACGGAAGATTGGAAGTACTTAAAGGGTGATCATTTGTAGCAACAGAACTACCTGAAGTATTCTGATGATGGCTGCCAACCACGTTACCCGGTTTCGTCGATGACCGATTGTTGCCAGAGCTGTTCCTGCTCTTACTTTTACCACGATTTGACCTTGAAGACGTAGGCACTGAGTTCGTCGCACCTTCGACACCATCTGGTGGCCTTTTAATAGGTCTGCCGGAATGTTCTTGGTTGTTTCCATGCCTAGAGATGAACTCCGTCCTGAAGGCTTGAACTGAGGGATCGTCATTATTCACGAATCTGATATCAGTGATCGTTTTCTTCTTTGGGTTGCCTTGTTTAACAAACTCCTCAACGGCATCAAACATGACATTGGCGCATTCGTCTTTCGGCATGCCAAAGCTGCCGGAGCCAATGGCTGGTAATGCTATAGAGGTCATTTTCCATTCTTGTGCGAGGTTTAAACTGTTTAAACAGGCCCGGCGAAGGAGATACCTGCTCTGGGACAATCCTACGTCTCGGAAAACTGGTCCTACAGCATGGACAACCTTGTTACAAGGTAGATGTCCGGAACTTGTTATAACTGCTTCACCATCTTTCAGTGATTTACGTTTTGCTGTAATCTTGTTTGACTCTATCTCGATTACCTTTCCTCCTCTGTCAAGTATGGCCTTAGCCACACCTCCATCGTGTCGAAGGTGATTGTTGGCGGCGTTTACAATGACATCAACCCGTTCGCTGGTAATATCTCCCTTGTAAACTGACACTTTGACACCACCTACAGAGAGAAAACATGAGTTACACTGAGTTCATCAACCGGAATTGACGGAGTAGTTTACGGCCTTCCCAGTCGAGGGATATATCTGCCTTGCGTTAAAACGAAAATGTGACAAGAGGCAGAAAAATAGTGGCTAACAATAGTCTCCAGAAAAAAACTAGATGAAAGCAAAATATACGAACTTTTTTACAGAGAGAGATCCCTCCAAGGCTTAGTAATGTAATAGCGTAATTTACTTTCTCACACTCTGGACGCCTTAAGTGCATCTAAAATTTTCCTTACTCCAGCTGGAAGCTTATACAAAACCTACACAGTTTAAGTGTGAGGCCTGTATCACGATTGAGGGACCCCTTATTTCTCTTTTAAATTAACAGTGCAAATTATAATTTGAAGGGTCATTTAACATTACCTTAATGAATAATGTTTACATAATGTTTACTAAATTCCATTCACCAAGATGGAAAAAAGTATTGCTAACCTATGTAGGTTTCTATTAGATCTTTACTTTGGAACCCTGTGGAAGAATCTGAAGGGTCTACATCCATCTCCTCATCGTGGCTTGACTCTTGAAATTCTTCAGTGCCCTTGTCTTTTCCTGCTTCCCTCTTTATTTCTATCTCCTCCTTTCTAAGAAATTCGAAGGCTGCCTCCAAGTCGTGTTCTTCTCCATACAGTTCCCAGTGCTTTTGATCCCTTGCCACCTCAACAGAGACTGGAAACAATTTACTCATTTCAAGAATTTTCTTTCGAGCAGGGACAATATTTTTATCACTCTTCAGAGAGAAACGTTCCATCTTCATTACCTGAGTCATCTGTTGGTACAAGTCAATGAACAGGTCGCAAGCCTTGTCGTATTCCTCAGTGCTGCACGCGTCGTCCGGTGCCACTCTGATTTTGCCATCTTTAGCCTCTCGTGGTATCTTCACATGGTATTTGGCCTCGATACTGTTCAGTTCAGTTTCGTGTGCTTTGACAAAAACTTTTATGAACTTTGGCTCGACCTCAAAATGGTGATTTACTGGGGGTATGACATGTTCAACACAGTTGGACTCTGTTTTACTTGGTCCTTGGTCTTGGCAATGTAATCCATTTCGCACAGCAATTGCCTTGGTGCAGGTTTGGTTCAGACCTCCATCGCTTTCATCGCCACCAAACTGAGACTCGTTTTCACGGTGCTTCTGAGGTTGCGTCATTTTTCTTTTCAGGCCACTGAATACTGCAATTCCACCAGATTGATTTATAGCCTGTTGTAAGTAGGTACGGGACCGCTCCACTTGCTTGAAATCTCCTGACATAGTAAAAGTTTCACTGACTTCAATCCACTTAATACCAGTTTTGCCAGCAATTTCGTCTAAGAGGGTTTTTGTTTGTTCACGGGTGAGGAGTTCCACCGTTTCTAAACAAAGCTCTGCAGAAACCAGCTCGAACACCTTAACCAAAGGAAAAAATGTTGATGTAAGTTGGACCCACACAGCACTGCTGTAGACAATAGATATGATTTCAATGACATTCTATAAAACCTGCTAAGGAAGAATTTTCAGACGGAGAAAAATAAAAAGGAATGTGCAGTTTCTCCTAATGACATTGTTTTGTAAACTTGAAAAACATTGAGAAAAACATTGAGAATACCTAATACCTTGTGGACTCACAAGCACCAGAGTTGAATTAAAGCTCAAATCACATTTACAACACAAATTAAAATTCATATACAGTATGCATTCAAGTTAAACCAAGACGCAAATATCACCTTTTTATACAGTTAATAAAAGTTATAGAAACCATTGCGTCAGGTATTGGAATACCTCGCAGTCGTGATTATCCTTCTTCATGCTTTCCTCATACTGTTTCACTATTAAAGCTGCTCCTCCAAACTCCTGTTCCTTCTGTAGAACTGTTTTCACAACTAATGGCACAAGAAAATACCCCAGATGTATGAACAGCATCCATGGAAGCTGATTTAAATTTGCTTGCATTTAAAGAGAAATAGATCTGCACAAGGGAACTGTAAGAATCGCTAAAGATTTCTTGATTTATAGTTTGCAAATCGTGAAAGGTGGCACCTAATTTAATATTAATAAAGTAAGTGCTGATTATCAGCCGGGGAGAAATTATGTTTGTTTTGAAAAAAGAACACTGTATGAGATGATATTTTGTCTAAAATCAGTGACTGTAGGGTTAATTTTGCTTATTAGCAGTAGTACAAAGGACCTTATTGTTTTCTGTTTTAGAGATTGGATCAAGTAGATAAAATTAAATACTGTTTTGCATCCCTACATCTCTGGTTCAGTTTCCAATAGAGGCTTATGCAGGCCACATGCTCACAGACCATACTATCTTGAAAGGTCTCTAAACACGGCAACCAGAGCAGTATAACAGAATGCAAAAAGTAAATAAAAGACAACAATTATCTGAATTATTGTGCCAAATTTAGTAAATTACATAATATGAACAAAGATACATCTAACCCAACATTAAATGGAACTAAAAATGAGTCACGGGCTCGTGATTCTGATAAACACATGTTCTGACTTCTTCATTGAGCTGAGAATACCCATGATTACTTCGGAGAATCTATTTATGGTCTAGAAACTAAGATCGGGCGGGCGCAATGTGTAACCGTGACTGCGCGACATTTTTAATCGCCATGATAACTATGTCGGCTGCCTCTATACTCGTTACTGATTATTGTATACATGCAAAATAAAATAAACTGAAACTAAAAAAGATCTTCCAGATCTGCGTAATTTACAGATGTGTAGACCCACTTATCAGGTTTAAGCTTTAACGAATAAATATTCACTGCGTTTGCAAAAGTTTAATGACGAGTCCCGTATAAAATTACATGCACAATAATTCGGCTGCGTGTATAAAGACGGTTTCATTTTTTAATGTTTGCTTTCATCCCGAACGAATATGTTTGGAGAAAGCTGAGCATCAAAATAATGGTAACTGCAGAATACCATGCCACATCGAGCACTTTACTGAAAAATGGTGGCTACGCGGCACGCGGTACGCAGTGAGTAATATATTCAAGGGAGGAAGTTGTCTTAGTTGCTGGCTATGCGGTAAGCGGTACGTATAGTGATTAATATATACAAGAGAAGAAGTTATCTTAGTTGCTGGCTATGCGGTACGCAGTGCGCAGTGAGTTTCGGCTCATGGATGAAAGAACGAGTTATATTCATGAATAAATTACATACTTCAACTTGACTTGACCGCGTAGCCGGCTGCGATGAACTTAGATCGAGTGGCAGGGTATTCTGCAGTTAACCAAAATAATGATGCCTGAAAGACTAAGACATTTCTAAAGCCTAAATTGTCGCAGAGGAAAATGTAGAACGATACTCTTCTTAACTGTTATCGAAAATGAAAGACACATCCTGACTGCATATTCAGTTTCTAGACGAGTAACGCAGTGATTAAACATACTCCTTTCATAATCGTAGTGTTCCGATACGAGACTTGAGTATTCCACATATGAACTAAGGACATAAGTTAACCATAAACATTTTACCTTCAGGGCTGTCAAATGTTATTACTGCAGCTCCTAGCTTACTGACAACGATGTTGTCGATATCACCGCCGCCGTTTCTCGAACGCTGAAAATGAATAATTAGGTCTTCCGATTTTGTTGTCGGTTGAAATCCTGTGACATAAACGCTGCGAAAAACTAACGTCGGGTCGATGTGAATGTCGCCTTCCACCTGAACAACTGACGGTCCAGCAGTTCTTTCTCTGTTTGCCATATTCTCGGCCATGTTCGTTCGAGCCCTGATTGAACTAAAATGTAAGACTGATTTCTGAGAAATTGAAAGCGGAAGTACTTGGCTTTCCGGGAATCCCCTGTGATGTTACTGGTAGAAACCGTCCAAATCGAAAGGCCAAAGAAATATTCCCCCTTGAGATACAGTTAGGGCGATAATGAGAGCATTTCTGATCAGTTAGAGTGAAGAATCTTGCCGTACATCCCCGGATCAAACGGCAGGAAGACTCAAGGAAGGCTTTGTTTAGCGCCGTAAGACGAAAAACTTTGTCCCAGTCTCACCCCTTCGTTTCTCGGAAAATCGAAAGCTGTTAGTTCGTCATTTGCATGTAGTTTGCGTGGCCGCAACCAAAAATGTCAGACGTTTTAGGAAAATGTCAGTCGAATGCACCACAAATACAGCTTCTAGAGGAAAAGCAAGTGGCAAGGAGTATTGTGGTTTCAAACATATCGCCACAGACTGCAAAGGAAGATGTTACTATTCACTTCCAGCGGCAGAAGAATGGCGGAGGTGAAATCGATCATATACACATTCCGAAGATAGGAACGGCCGTCATAACTTTCGAAAAAAGCGAAGGTTTGTGCATCCTTGTCTTTTCTAGCTATTACTTGCACGAAACTAGAAGTGTTTCTGACTTATAGTTCCCCGCTATAATACATTTTCAACATAACTCACTTCCAGTTTCTTCAGTTAGTTTCAGTTCGGATTCAACCGGTTACATATATGGAATATTCGTCATGCGTCACATTTGAACGTGCGATGAATAGCAACAGTGGCTTGCTTAAATTCAGTTATCGATACCCTCTTCACAAAAATAATACTTGCCAGATTTAGTAAAACCTCAAGAAATATTTTACATGATATAAAAGGATTGGGCAGATATCACTTCTAGTGCGGGTGGGGTAGCGACGAAGTGGTGGGTTGTATTATTTTGGAGGGGTAGCGACGGAGTGGTCGGTTGAATTATTTTTAGAAAGCATCCTGTAAGTAAGCGAGTTCTAAGAGCTACATTTCTATTCAACAATAAGATTGTGAGTTCAGCAGAGAATTATGTAATAACAGGAGCCAATAACCCAAATTATTCTGACATTTTGATTGGTTCTCGCGTACGATCTATTAGAGGATAGAGGCACGATTGACATAATAATAATAATAATAATAATAATAGTAATAATAATAATAATAATAATAATAATAATAATAATAATAA